ACCTGATTGGGTTTTCACTGTCCGCTGATAATCTATGAAATAATACCACAGGACAAACACTGTGATTGGTGAGTGGGTGGGTAAATCCTCTCTGAAGCTGATCGCAGCTGTTACCCTGTGAGTTCACCTTGCTGCACAGAACAGCTTGTCCTGGGTTTGTGCTTAGTTGATGTCCTGTCGTGCTGGCCATGGCCTTTCCTGCTTCTGGAAAGATGACATAGCAGAACAGCACTCTTGCAGCATGATAGTCTTATGGACTGTTTTGAAATGCTAGAAGTGGTTATTGAGGTGTTTAGGGCAAAGATAAACGTGTATACATTCCTTGTGTGGACCAAGTTAGTCCATCTGCTGGTTCCCAACCTCTGGAAAATCCCTGGTGCCCCTGTGTGCCCTCTGTGGCCTGCTGTCTGCAGGCCAGGTCACAAGCCCTGCTCTCAGGTGCACCCGAAGAAGGCCCCATACTCCTCTCATGAGCTCTTTGAAGAGCATGGAAAGAAAGTATTATACTTCATTAGTGGTGCTTCATGGTATGGATGTGAGGGAATGCAGAATGGTCTTGCTTTCAGGCCAGTTAGAGAGAGGAGAGCAGAGGGGCTGAGGCTGCTTTCTTGGCTGCTTAGTCTGGAGAACCAGTAGGCCAGAGAAAGCAGAGAAAGCTGAAGGTGAGAAGGATAAGGGACATCCATGATTACTTTGCTAGCTAAATGGATCTGGACATAATTCACAGTAAAAGTGTGACATTGTACCATTAGCTGCATCACACACATATAATGTCCTTATACAACAAACTCATGAGAGAGAAGACAACTGCATACATTTCCCTTTGACAAGCATTTATATATATATGAAATTCCTCAGAAGGAAACTTCCTGCATAGATGTACAATATTGCAATGAACGGAGAAGTGATGGAGCATTTCAGAACTCATCTGCGTTGCTGACGAGTGACCTTCTTTGTTAGTTGGTTTAATAAGAGTGACAAACGACAAGATTTTGTGCTGCTTCCCTACTGATAAATGCCTGAGAAAAATGTCAGCGGTTGATGCATAGTGGCAAAATGTATCTGTCTTCTTCATAAGCCTTGAGCTGCCAGTATTTTTCGTGCATAGCTTTCAAGAACACATTTGATTAAGTGTTCCAAAAGGCACAAACTGCTATATTAGTTTCCTTTTCATGAACTTTATTGAAGCTCAGCAATAAGCACAAATAATCAAACTGCCCCTTGAAAGACAGGCACTACTAGGGCCAAATAAGGGATGTCTGACTACAAGAATAAAAAGCAAAGTACGAAAAGATGCAATTTATAACACACATTGTAACCAGCCTCCTTGGATGGGTCTTCTTCAGTTTTCATTGCAGAAAGCTTTATTCTATCCAGAGACTGTAATTTTTCCACATTTGGGCTTTTTTCCTTTTTTCCCCCCCTGAGAACAGAACACCCAGAAAGCACTTTTTTTTTTTTTTTTCTATTTAAAGACTTTGTGTGTGTGTGTTCCTGCCAGTGGAAATCTGTTTGAAGTTAACTGAAGACTTCTGTGAAAGTTCAGGTTCACGACTTTATCATTTACCTCATGTGGCCGTCCCTGCTGGATTCCTGGCTCCATTACCCAAGGTGTTAGTTAAAATTGAAGGAGGTCAAAGTAGTTTTCCCAGATTATAAAATAAAAATTATGAGCAGCTCATGAAACATTCTGGCTTTGTAATTTCCTTGTAACTGCATTCATCTGAGCAGGTGCCTTCCTCTCCCCTCACCATGATATTTCATGGTACCTCAAGGAGGAGAGCAACAGAAGCAGGATCCATCCTTTCAGGCAGGTCCCTTGTGCAGCAACCCTCTGCTGTCCACGTACAAAACAGATTATAACAAAATACTGTTAACAAGGGGGTGGGAAAAGCCCCACAGGTCTCTCCTGCTTTAGCATTTATAGCAAAGGGCACTAGGAATGAACCTGCCAAGTCATATTCAGGCGATTTGAACTTTGCTTCTACCTGGCAGGCTGTCTTCCTGCTATTTTGAGGCAGGTCAGATCTTCCTAGGAGTATTTATGTGGCAGCAATCATTATGCAATTCAGGAAAAAAAAAGCTCAAAAAAAAGCATTGTGATATTTCAGATATGGTAGGGGATTTCATCTTGTGTCAAATGTAAAATATGCAGCTATTTAAACAAGCTGATAGTTTTTTTCAATTTCACATGCAACTACTTTTTGTAAACAGTGTATTATACAAGTCAGTTCTTTGATTTTATTTCCATGCCTCATTAAGATTTTCAGACTTCAATCCTAATAAGGACTGTGTTATTCTTTGAAGTGATGTAAGAAAATACTCATCTCTTGCTGAGGAACTAGGAAAGAAAATAAACCATTTTCCTGTTTTCCTAGTTTGAATAGACATTTAATTAACGTGACATGCCTTGGGCAAAATCTAATTAATACATCATCTCTTCTACAACTAAAATTAATGGAAGGTTTATGACTGCTGAGCTGCAGAAGGCACTGAATTTTTTTTTCCTGTCTTCTTACTCTATTTCATCCAACCGTCCATCATTATTTTCTCATCGAAGGAGGGAATCTCTATTTCTGATCATTCAATTTTAATATGTGCTGACAGAAAATTCCCTCCTATCTTCATTGCTCCATCAAGCTTCCAATTTTGAACATTTCTATTATGACTTGTAACCTCGGTTATAAAATTAGGGAGAGTCTATGTCTGGAAAATCTCCAAGGAACTCTTTGCTTTTGAGAGGTGCCTGCATGGAAGTGATAACCCCACACCTGCTTCCCCCAGTCCTTGGGCTTGCAGCAGCGTGGGTTGGGGAGGGCAAACCTCTGTGAGCAGGACTTATTCCTCTGAATATGAGGAAACATTTCTTCAGAATATGAGGAAACGTTTCTTTACGGTGAGGGTGACAGAGCACTGGGACAGGTTGTCCATTGGTTTTAATGAGGTGGCAGGAACGTGGGGGGAAATCCTAAGGGGCTGAGACCCCTGTCTCAGACTTCATGGGATGGTAGAAAAAGTCAAATTTCTCTGAACTTGTGATATTCCTTTTTTTTTTTTTTTTTTTAATATATATATATTAAATATCAGTTCTGGGATATATGGGCATTAGGGTCAACAACTGTGGAAAGTTTCCTCCCCTCTCACTTTGGCATCCTTCCACCTCCAGTTTCTGAGAGCCTCATCTTTGGCAGGGAAAGGAAGGAGGAGGGGAAGGCAAGAGGCAAGCCTGAGAACAAAGGAAATTGGAGAGGCACCTGGTGATAGAAATCAATGAGTATCAGATAGGAGGGGAATGAAAGGGGGAGGAAAAGAAGGGAATAAGGACTTGCAATCATTAAAAAAAGAATCAGAAACAGAAAGTAGGGATAAGAAAAATATTAACTACATAAGTACGCTGAGGACGAGTGTAGCTTTTCTTATTATAACAATTCTATTTCACTGCTGACAATTCTTTGTAGTGAATTTGTTGGATTGTTTCCAGATAATAGCTCCTAATCTGTCAGCAGAGTTTTTATGAAAGCCTGTGCTATTCCTGCCCCTTTTAAAGACTGCAATTTGCTCCACTGAAGATCTGGATTGTCCTCTGAAGAACCCCATGCCTTTCCATTAGCGTTCTGATTAAGGATACTTAAGCTAGCTGGAATGAATTTGCACCTTAGTTATGCTCGTCATGAAAGAAGGAAAATAAGGTTGACAATTGGTGAATTATCTGACTTTAGGGTTTAGGATCTTTTGTAGCTGGCATGAAACATCATTTCATGTGTTCCTCTACAAGCATCGGGTTGAGTGTTTCAGGCAGTTTCATTCACTAGCTGATGTAAATCATCAAATTGTCCTCCTGGAAGTGGTGTAGCCTTGCTGTTACATTTAGCTTTACTGCCCCACAGGGCAATTCAAGTACCTCATGCAATGTGGGACTTTGGAAAATTCAATATTGGTTTCATATTTCCTTTCTGACTCTCATGGCTGTCAAAACAGGGCGCTCGTGTGCTCTGGCTCCTGTGGCATGTCAACTTTTTTATTTTAATTTTTGCACATTTTATATATGCATAAAATTTCTTTGTTCCTGGTTCCCAGAATGTGAAACATACAACATAGGGAGAAGCAAAATTATTAGCACAGCAAGAGTGAGGGAAAGGTCTGTTACTCTTCAAAGTGAGCAGAACTAGATGATGGGTGAATTGAATGCTCACCAGCTCTCTGGCTAGGTTTTTGCAATCCAGCAGGCTATAGGCATATGGATGGGGTTGTGGGCATAGTTATCGTCTTTGCTGCCACTCTCACCCTCCCTCCAGGATCAGGGATGTGCTATCCTAACCCATCTCAGGGTGGCATGAGAATCTCACACCCATGGCAATACAGAAATTTAGCTTCAGAAAGTGCTAATGAAGAGCCTATTTCTTCCTACAAATGTGACCTACAAAGTAGAAGTGGCTGAGAAAAAACAGCAGTGGTGAGATGGAGGAGAAGAGGAGGTGAAAGCCAACAGAGAAATGTGAAGCATGAGGAGAACCAGGACAGGGAGAGGAGGAAAATGGTCTCTTCTGCATACCAGGGGTGAGGGATTTCCCTGCCTCCTCTTCTCTATGTGTGGGAAGTTTGTAACTTTGCACATGTCCTGCCTGAGTTTTGCTGTTCCCCACAGCTGTCCCTTAGTGACCAAAGTAACTGATTCAAGGGCTCAATTAAATCTTACCAGAGCTCCTCTTGCACTGTGTTCTCCCCAGTCTGCTTGGGATGGGGCATAACCTTCAACATCGCAGATAGAAATAAGCCTTCATCTTGTCATGCCTGGATGAAGACCATGGCTATGGTTAGACTAAGGTACCATTACTTCTGCATGTGTGGCAGACAGGACAAGCTAATGATCCATAAAGGTAGGGGTAAGCCCACCCAGCTCACAGAAAAAAATGGAAGGTGCAACAGGGTCACTTTCAGGTCTGTGTGACTGAAGGTTGAAGCAGTGCAGGAGTCAGGCATTCATGCATGGGTTCAAGCTGTCTGACAGTTATCACATGGGAGAAGACCTTCTCCAACCCGTTTTGCTCAGCGCTCACAAGATGTCTTTGATCATCAAGCTGTGCCTTTCGTGCTATCAGAGAAATGAGCACTTGGGTAACAGCAGAGGGGTTGCTACACATCTGCACAAAGAGAAAACCTTCGAGATCCTATTGGTACATGAATCATCCAGATCTCTTTCTGTTCGGACTGTCTCCAGTTTCTGTTTATCAGGCATACCATGGACTGGACTATAAAGAGGAATGGGCACCGCTGTTTCCCTGTGCTTAGAGGCGCACAAGGATGTTGTGTCCCCTTCCTCCAACTCCCTGAATCCAGCTTCTCCAGAAAATCAGCAACATGAAAAGAGCAAAAGATGGTATTTGAAGGCATGAGATGTACAAAACTAAATGCGCTCTGAGCTGTTTCTAAGGCATTTGGTTTAGATTCTGCACTTTTTCATTAATAATAATTGCTGGAGCATTGGTCCAACCAGTAAAGGACACAACTGGCACCCATGCCCTGACACTACCACAGGTAAATCGAACTATCCCAAACGGGCAGTGCCAAAGGCAGAGGGCTATAATGGACAAGGAATTTTTCATGATATTATGCAATTTCATAGAGAACCTAATATTATCTACTTATTGCAGAGGTACCATCTGTCTGCCAGGCCTTCAGGTGGGTTTGAGCTACCTGTGGAAATGACTACTGGATGGTAGGTGACCTGGTATTTCAGCAGCATCTCTGTTATCTCTTACTAGACTAACATTTTGGAGAAACACGCCAAAGTTTGGAACATCTCCTCTACAAGCAGATATTTAGCTTAATGATCGTGTTCTGTACCCAGGCACAGTGACCTCCCCAGTTTGTGTTAGGAGAGATCCAACACTCAAGGCTGAGCTGTAACAGGGTGAGCTGTGTCTCCATGGGCTGAAACATCAAGAAGAGGCTCTGATTCTGCTTCTGAGCTGTTGAGAAGAAAGAGGGAAGTGACTTGAAGCTTTCTTCCTTCCAGTCACAGGACTTGGTACTTGCTGCTGCAGAAATCCTCGCTCCTAGGTTTGCACGGGGAAAGCACCAAGTGATAACACGGCCGGGGTAAATTCCCCTCCACTGCTGCTCCCAGCCTGATGCTGTTTTTTATTGCCGACAGTTTACTCCCTGCAAGAAAACCACCTTTCTCAAATGACCCCTCATTCCTGAAAGTGTGTCTGTATTTCTACCAAACTCCTAAAAGAGAAATGCTTTCCTGGCTAAGTGTAGTGAATGGCAGTAATTGCTTTCTTTCAGTTTACCTCAGTTCTCAGGATTAAGATTAATAAAACACTGGCTCTTAGCAAAGGCACTTAAATAAAGGATGGATACTTCAAGTTCAGCCTGCTATATTGATTAGATAGCTCCATTTATTTCCCCCTCTTCACTGAAATAGGTTGAGGCTGTTGCATTGTGTAGGCAACTAATGTCAGCTGTGCTTGAGATGAAGGGGTTTTGACTCAAATGCCATTGAGAATAAATTTAAAGTATTGTTATCTAGACATCACAAAAGGGAATAAAAGCTGAAGTGTAAGCCCCAGAATAATACATACAGATAGCTGCCAGACGTGGAGTGAAGAAAGGCTGGCTCTCTAATAAATCACATCTGACTTGTATTCAGCCTAGCCCCGTGCCATAACAGGCTGGAAGCAGGAGGAAAATGCAGGTGACAGGACTGCTAAAACCACCAGAAACGAGTAGCAAATGCCACGGTGGATGTGACAGAGCTCCTGACTGGATGAAAGGAATTGGTTCTGCAGAGCAATTAGGCGCTCGTAAGGAGCAAATGACGAGGACAGGACAGTGAGGAAGATGATAGAGCAGCACATAACATTGGAAATAGTACCAGGATCTGGCCTCCCATGTTGTGACACATTTTTGTTGGCACAAACCTAGACTCTTCCTGATTGTTTCTCTTACTGTATAATTTTCAGCAGTAACTGAAGATGTGTTTTCACCACTTTATCCATTTCTACCTCAGGGATTAGGGGGCAGCTGAAGTTGTTCCTCTACTTCTCTGACCTTCTGTGACTTTCACACTTTTATTTAAGAAGCTTGTCTATTTTCCAGATCTCAGTAGCAGTCCATATTCTGAGGACACCACGTGCATGCCGTGAGAGATTTATATGCATGCTCTCTATCATCTCATGTCATCAACTCACAAGTGAAATGGCCTGGGTGGAAGAAAGCAGATACAAGCATGACTCTACTCTGAATAACTGAATGTCCTTTGCTCAATTGAGTAGCTTAAATTGATTGTTAAAAACCTGGCATGAAAGGGTTTGCTGGCATAAAAAGGCTTGCTGACATTTCTGTTAAAGAGCATGCTATGGATTGCGGTGTAGATAACATTTTATTCCAAGTTTACTCACCCAGTAAAGGGTATAAATTGCTCCGTCCTGTGAAGGATTCACCACTGAACACTTCATTCAAAAGCAAAACAAACCAAAACAAAACAAACAAAAACTAATCTTAACACTTTTTTTTTTTTTTTTTTCCATCTCCAAAGCCTTCCTCACTGAGGGGTAGAGGAGGGAAGGAAACAAGTTCTAACACAACTGGATACTGTAATTAGGGTATTTGATGCTTTCACTCAAATTTTATCATGATCTTTTATGTGAACACATTTATCTATGAACATGTAAATATTTGTGTAGGAAAAGTTTTTGGTCTGTAAAAGATTTTATTTTTTTTTTTCCCGCCAATAGTGTCTAATTCCTTATAGCAGGTGATGTTGTGGCTTATTCTTTTTATCCTCTTTTAAGAGGGATGTTTGAGAAAACAGAACATAATATACATGATGCTTTAAGACCTCTCACAGCTCTGTGCTGCTCCAGGGGTACAGTGTTAGCCTCTTAGTGCTGGAGAAGCACAGAGCAGGCAGGTTCTGCTGGAGACGACACCCAGAGGAACGAGGGGGAGGTTTTGCTTACCCTGAAGTCATTAATTACTGTCGGCCTGCATCGATCCACTGAACTACTTTTTACATCACAAAATAATTGTGCATCTCCTAATCGGAAGACATTCAGAACTGTCAGGGCTAGGAGCAGGTGTGAAAACTACATCTCATGCAGAACTTGTTTAATGGCACAGATGTTGGTGGTTGCTGTCATATTGCCAGCAATTTGCTCTCCCCCTTTCTTGTACCTGCAGCAGGAAGGACATTTTGCTGGCTCACTTCCCACCCGAGACTTTGATAGAGTCACAGGGTGAAAAAGAAGCAGAACTGCACCTGAAACTTTTTAGTTTTTGAAATCCTGGGTGCTTCAGCAACCATTTGCATCCAGGGGCATGGCTGGAAGTAGTGAGGGAGGGATCAATGAACTTTCTCTTCTCAGTGTTATATCTGGTGTTTCCCATATTTTTAGCTTAAGATTTTATGATTGAAAGAAATCAGGGCACATTGAGGAAAGAAGCAGCATGCACATAAGACTTCTCCAAAGCTGTCTGTCCACTGTTTTAAGGGTGACAGAAGTGGGGAACTTCCCATGCCAAGAAAGGGCTCGATGCAGAAGCCAGCGGGCACAGGCTCCTGCTAACACGTGCAACCTGTCAGCTCCTTCCCCTCCTTCCAGCGATTGCTGGTGCTTTTTCTAGCTGAACGACAGCTGATGCCTGAAAGGAGAGGGATGAGCCGTGTCACATTTCTGTCACTGCTGCCTGCACGAAGAACCGAACGCCTCTCTCTGTGCTGCGTGACAGCTGTGCCAAGGGGTGCTGGGCATCGTGCTGTCTGGAGATGCAGAGCAGGGATAAAAGTGGAGACAGCGAAGAGCAAGAAGAAGAGGGAACAATTTTAGTTCAATGGGAAAGTCTGGGCCTGGGAATTGGCTGCCAATTGCCAGCTGGCAGGATGGTGCTTTCTGTCATAACCCATGCATCCCAGCAAAGAGTTATTAAAAATGACTGAAACTAGACACTGGGGACACATACCATGTTGTTTCCTATCTCATTAAATGCCACAGCATCTATATGGTTAAATTATCATGAAAAATTTGAGAGGGAAGCATTTTGTTTATTCAGAGCGTTTGTGTCTGGGCTTGGTATCTGATTTTTTTTTCCTGGAGACAAAAGAGCACAGCAGGAAAGCACCAAGGATGAAATGTAACCTGTGTTACAGTAAAAATAATTTAAACCAGAGGCTAACTGGGTTGGAGAAGATTTCATAACGCCGTCCCACTTTGGGCGTTACATGGCATCCTTTGTGAGCTTGGTCTAGCACAAAGAGTTGCAAGTTGCTGCTGTTATTTGTTGCTGTCTTTGTCACTACTCTTTATAGCACAGACTCACTTGGAGTAGGTATGAACTTTTTCTACCTAAATGATCCACAAAACAGACATATTTGAAATACAGAATACAGATGCAGTCCTGTGTGTGGCTTCAGCAAGCCCAGCACTGATGCAGAGCTTCGATATGGCCAGTCCATGGCCAGGACAGGTGTTTGCTCTCCTGCTCTGTACAACGCCCCACTGCTTATCCATCCTTGTTGCACTACCAAGCAAGTGCTTGGTTTTGGGCAGTGCAGGTAAACTGTTTTCTGTGATCAAAACTATATGCCTCGACTGTATTTATAACAACAGAAATTAACCTTTACCTAGTATCCAGTTCTGTTTGTTTTCTCTGACACTGAAAAATCATAGAAAGTGTTCAGGAGTGTCCTTTATGGCTTTAGGGTGAAGAAGTGATCGCTTCTATTAGTAGATTCTGAGAAGCCTGAAGTTTCACAACATCCTACCTGCCAGACAAAATTTAGGAAGTATGCAGTAATACACAGGCAAGGTGACATTGTTAAGGCCTGCGTTGATGTGAACAACAAGAAAAAAAAAAGGTGTTTTTGACTGGATGTATCGTAGATATCATAAGGCACTTTCTGTATGAGCTATGGGAATGACATACCCACTATGCATGGACAGAGTGGGCAGAAAACAGCAGACCAAAGAGAGAGGTAGTGCGTGAAAGCTTCTCCTTCCCCTGTTTTTCCTAAATTTAAAGCTCTCCTCACCATGCTGGCCAGCCAGGTGGTGAAAATGTTATTGTCCCTCTCAGTCAGATGGATCCCATTTATTTGTAGCAGCCCTTGGTAGTTAGCAGATAGGTGCCTCCAGCCCCAGGAGCAGGCAGTTTCCCATTGCTATCACTTGCTGCTTCCTCTTTGTGCTTTTGCAGAGCTCAGGCCCAGCTATTTTGAGTGCGTTTATGGACATACCTCCTGGTACACTCATCTGCTCATGGTGATTGAACCTAGTCTGCAGTGCCTGATATGCAGGTGGAGCAGGAGCCATCTTAATGGGGGAATTCATGAACTTCCACCCTTCCAGCCTCTCCCATGCAGTGAATCTCCATTTCTCAACCTGACAGGCCCAGGCACTGCCTGCATCTCCTTTGTTACAGCTGGGGGTTTGAGCTCGTGTATCAGCAGGCTCTCTGGGATGATGCAGTCAGTCTGCTTCTCATCCTCTCTAATGCTGTCCGTGCTGTGGACCTTCCTGCATCCCTGTTGACACAGGCTCTCCACCCTCACACAGCTGCTGCTGAGGAGGAGCCCATCACCCCCAGACCCAGCCCTCAACGTGAGGTCCCTGTAGGTTTCCTTCCCTGGCAGTAGACACCCTCAGGAAATAAATAGTTATCATCTTTCCTCCTAACTCCCTGCATCATTTAAATTTATTGCCAATGTTTTCCCCATTGTTTTCAATGCCTGTCTGAAAAGCCTGTGCTGTCTGATTTTATCATTTAGATGTCCTACCCCAGAACATAATACCTATTAACTGTGTCTTCCTTTCTGTTATTATTGACACTGTTCCATTTCATCTATCAACACATCAACTGTGTGAGTGGGCTTTTATAATTCCAAACATTTCACTATTCCCTTCCATTGCCAGTTTTATGGAATAGATTACATTTATGTCCATAAAAAGGCAAATTCAATTACTCTAAACTGTTTTCCATAACGTCAATGTACAAGCTATCAACTTTTCCTTAATACTTTGTGTGTTGATGAGTGGTTTCAGTCTCTTGATTTTGTTCTGAGTACTCTTTGGACCCACTTCTCTTGCTGTTAACAAAAATGCAGTACCCATGGGATGGCTTCAGCCAGTTTGTGTGGCAGAAGGCTTGTTCCACTTTCAGCCAACAAGAGTTTCTTGCAGGTTTCAGTTAGGCAGCAACAAATGTAATTCTTAGTAGAGCCTGTGCTTCTAAATCTGCAAAAGCAAAAAGGGAAGAGGAAGCACTTATATATATATATATATATATACACACACAATTTTTCCCCCCTTATTTGAATATATCTTCCTGAAAAAGTAGCCTTACCTTACCCAGGCATCTTGAAGCAGTCTGAACC